GTGCCTGAAGCTTGGAGCCGCGAAGTGGCCGGTCTCGCATCTCAGTCATGAGTACTGTCTTGTGGGTCAAGCTGGGCAGTAAGGGCAGCAGCCGAGTCCCTTGTGAAAAAAGGGTTTGGGTGTTCTAGGGCTTAGAGTCCAGGGCTTCAGAAAGTTGAGTTTGGGCTCTGATGGCTTTTCGAGTCTCGGGGTGTGCTTGAGGGCTTTGGGCTTTCTCGGCGTCGCGGATATGGCTTTCATCACAAGCCGCAGCCGATACTTTCTTGAGAGGTTGAAGAAAGCTGTGCTCAAATCATTTCGCACCGGTCGATCCGCAAACAATTTCTTCCGCGCACCCGAACTCGGAAAGATAAAAGCTTGTGGATTAACTTGATTTCTGATTCGTGTTCATGCCGGCTGCAAGTACGTGTGTAGTAGTCGTTCAGAAGGCGACTGCATCAGTGCACTAGTGCAGGAGCTATTATGACTCGTTTCCCGTCTTGAAAGCCTTATGGACCGTGAACTTAGTAGCTGAGTAGGTAATTTTTGAACCTTTTCGGGTGTATATAGTCAATATAGCCCAGGCATAATCGGAAAGGTTAACCTTTTTGTGGCTAGGATACTCAGACCCCAAGTTGAATGCCAGACCGTGCTGCCCTGATGATTTGTTTGGGGTGGGCTCGAAATTTCCCACGCCGTTGCTCTGAGATCACACCTTCTACATCCCGGTGCGCTTCATCGACCCGTGCATCTACAAAGACAAGGCATACAAGAAGAACATCTTTCCAGAGGACAGGGCGCTACCCATAGGCCCCATAGTAGTTCCTTTTTGGGATTACCTTATAGGATTCTAAATACAACCCCAGAAAAGGAACTACTATGGGGCCCATGTTTATAGCCCCAAAGCCGCAGACCCCGAACCCCCAGATCTAAAGCCCCGCGAGTCCTGTCATGAGGTTCAGAACCCGGAAACAAGCGACGAAGCACCATGAACCCTACATACTATATACAGGAAGCTTGCACGTTTCTCGGCACGGGGTGCCAGCTCTTTTTGCCGATGCTGGTAGCTGTGAGCCATTCAGACTCAGGTTCAGCGCTTTTGGAATTCTTGCTGCCACGTGATGCATTGCATATCCCCTTTGTGCTACCGTTGTGCTTCTGCGGCCGTTTGCCAGCTCCAACTCCAGCCGAAAGCAAGAAAGAGAGAGAGAGAGAGAGCGCGAGCAGATACCAGACCACTGCTTCGGCCCCGCTGAAAGAAAGAAAGAAAGAAAGAGGATGGCTACTTCGAGGCGTGAGACGTGGCAGCGCATGCTGCTGACTCCGAATCCTATCCATGAACTGGTGGAGTCTTTCTGTCCAGAGGTTTGGTCACAGATGTCACGGACTCTCGGCCGGGAATGTCGTTGTAGTACTAGTATAGTAAGACAATCACGGGTGTGTTAGTTTTTTTTTTGTGGGGGGGCAGTAGGGTTTAGGTCTTTAGGGTTTAGGGTTACGGCCTCACTTATCATGTGGACACACTCCGCAAATACAAAATTCGAAAGCCTGAAATCCGAATCCTTCAACCCAAAAACTAATATAGGGGCATTAATTATTATTTTAATAGGGTTTTGGTATATAATACTACAATAATCATGAACCCCCCAAAATAGTATAGGTAGTTATTTTAGGCCGCTACAGTAGTTTATTAAGGCCCCTATGTTACCCAAACCTCCAGCTTGATCCGAGGACGGCCGTCTCTGCCCGGACCGTCGCCCTACACAAGACAGGCCAAACCCTAAACCCTAAACCCTAAACCCTAAACCCTAAACCCTAAATCCTAAATCCTAAAACCCTAAACCCTAAATCCTAAAACCCTAAACCCTAAACCCTAAACCCTACACAAGACAGGCCGATCCTTCGCCGTGATCCAAGGGCTGATCTTGGATGCCTTCGACTCCCTGGAGGCTTCTGGGACTACCTGGACCCTGAAGAACCTACCTTTTTAGGGTTCCTTAATACTTCCTTATATAAGTCCTTAAAATGGTAGGTTATTCGGGGCTTACCTTTGTAGGGTTCCTTAATATGATTTCCTTATATGAGTCTATATGAGTCCTTATAATGGTAGTTTGTTTTGGGGGTTAAGGTACGGTTTAGCTGCGGTTTATGGTTGGCCAAGTCTGGCCGAAAGTAAGGCTTCGTGTTTTGGGTTTGGTTTTTTCTGGCCTTCTGCAAGTCTTTGCAGTGCACCTCTGTGTCCTTGATAGTTCCTGTCAAGATCAAGCGAGTGTTCTCAGAGTGCCTTCCTGTCGCAACCTACAAGGACAGCCCAGAAGGCCTTAGCTCCTGAATTCCTGAATCAGTACTGTAGAAGTAGAAGCCTAAATCATCACCAATACTATTCCTTCGGGTTCCTTACTAGAAGTATACGATGAAGGAGCCCAACACCCTATCCCTCCGAGCTCCGTTCTACAGAAAGCATATGTCTGGGTTTATTTGGCTCTTGTCCTGAGCTTGGCGAAACCCAAAGCCCTAAAAATCTCTGAACCCAAATCCCCTGCAATTCCTTTTCAAACCGGTGGCATACCCAAAGCCTTCAACCCTGAACCCTAACCCCTTTTAGATCCCTTTGAGAAGCGACCCCCGCGCCCAGGATCGCCAGAAACTTGCATGTGCCGCGCGCCAAATCCAGGATCCCAGAATCTAAAAGGGTTTAGGGTTTAAGGTTTAGGGTTTAGGGTTTAAGTTTAGGGTTGGGAGATCTAGGTACAGGTACAGGAATAGCCTAACGGAAGTGGGAGCTTAAGGTGGCAGGGTGGATGAGTTAGGGTGTGTGAGCTAGTAGGGCTGCGAGAGTCTAAAACCTGATGTTGACTCGATGCTTGGGCAAGCTTGCCTTCCGTGGCTTCGACTTTGGATAAGGGGTATTTTGGGGCCTCCATACCAGAAACCAGAACGCAGCACCGACATCTTACGAGCTCTGAGTAACCAGGGTTTAAACCGCTAGAAAAAACAGTCCCACCCCGGCGTTTGAAGCTGATGCTTGGGTTCCCTATAGCCCAAGCTACATACGGCCTAAAGTCCAAAGATTTGATACCCAGTTTGTTACTCGGTATGAGGCAGTAGGCCTCCGTCCAGGGTATCCTGGTAGCGGTAATGCTCAAAGGTTCAATATTCCAAAGGGTTCTGTATTCGGAATACTTATGACGATTTGGGAAGGTATCCCCCCATAACAGTACCCCGGACCCTTCGGGAATATCCTGAAGCTAAAGCTGTGAATACAGCAGGAGCTCTGCAATCGTGGCTTGGACCTGATCCGGGCTTCCTCCGTGCATGAAGAGGAAGAGGCCTTTTTTCGGGAAAGCCGGGGGTTGGGCTCGCAGGGTTTTAGGGTGTACTTACTGATTTTTGAGGGCGGAGAATTTCTGGTCAAGCGTCGCATGTCCTGGCTTCAGAACCTATGCAGCTTTTTCTTTCCTGCCATGGGGCTCTAGACAGTAAGAAGGAAAGGAATGAGGGGATCAGGTCGTGCGAGAGACGCGGTTTCGGGTTTAGGACTTGAGCATGTAGGGGTCGGAACAATCACAATTATATGCCAATACTATGCCGCAGTGTTCATTCTTGTAATAATTACAGGCTTAAGGAAACATACCCCAAGCCACTGTTCTAATTGGAAAAGGCTCCTATATGAACCGGTTTGGGGAAACCGGTACTTCGCACTTCCAAAACCCTGAACCTGAACCCCAAAATCCTCAAACCCAAAGCCCTAAACCCAAAGCCCTAAGCCCCAAAGCCTTTTAAAGACGACTGCAGGATGATGAGACTCCTGAGGAGAGTGCGGAGTCAGAAGTGGACAGTGAGTTGGGAGCTGAAGAGATGCTTCTGACTTTGTTGAAAATCAGTGCCTCGGCTTCTTCTGGACTCTTACATAAGGGTGCGGTTATAGGCTATACAAGCCGAATTTGCATGCATATCTAATCTATCTAGACGATAGAAGCCTATAGGTTCTCGACGTCCAGACTGCCCCCTCCCCAGCATGTGATGGAAGACGAAAGCTAGGTGGCTCCTTGCATTCGTCATGCTTCTTGGGTTTTGGGTTAGGGTTGTGTCATTTCATGAGTATGAGTCTGAGCTAGTATTCTCATGGCTCTGGTTCGCAAAATGCGGTACCTGAGCCCATCCACGACGGCCCACAGTCGAACCCCCAGACCCTCACATGTGCGAGCCACGAAAGCCCACAAGTGCTCAATACACGCCTCTGCGGGGATGGCAACCCTGAGCTGTGCAGTTTGCTTAATCCCGAGGTCTTTTTTCTTCAACGGTCAATATGCTAATCCGGACCAGGTACCAGCATGAGCTTCTCTGCCGCCGCCGACAGGACGTCCGCCATCCGACAGGTGCGCCGCACCGCGAAGCACTTACTTCGCCGATGCGAAGTGAGTGGAGCGTAGATACAAAAGCCCAGCGACAACCAAAAGCCGTATGACCCTTAGCCTGCTAGGGAACCGAGTAGTGTAAGTGTAACTAGTAATCTTCTTCGCGCAGTTGCGGGATCTTGTGATCTTGATAAATGTTTATAGATATTGCACTCCTCACAAATCATGCATTTAATGCGTATGCGTTTGCTGATGATTCGGCACGTGCGCTTCGACGCAGCCGGATATTTCAGCAGAGATGAGAACCCGGCATCAATTCGAATGCCATTTAAATGCCGGTCTGCCGCACGAAGCGAGAGCGCGGCAGCTCTTCATCATGCGTGAAGCGGCTCGCGTCCTGCTTCCTCCCTTCTTCCCCTTCCCTGTACCCTACCCGGAACTGCCACAACCGTGCGTTTTACGTTCGCGTTCGTAAAATTCAGACCCGACCCTACAAGACGATGGGTTGTGGCAGTGCAAGGGAGACCCTCACCCAATTGCTGTGGCCTGTACAGACTCCCACATGCAGCACTTCGACTTTGTGGCGTTGTCCAGCTGAGAAAATTGGACTCACGACCCAGGGACGAGAGGTAGCTTACAAATGACCTTTGAGGGCACGTAGCCTGAGTAGTGTGTTTGGTAAATTAAGCTTCTCCATCGTGTAAAACCTAGACTCCTTCTACCCCGAGCTCGGAGCCACATCCACTCCACTCTAGTTCAATGATCCTCTTGTTGAGAGCTTGTAGTCTGCACAATCCTGTGTCCTTCGCTTTCGGGTTTAGGGGTGCGAAATGCAAAGCAGCAAGTGAATGCGGGGTCCGAACCAATATGCATGAGCCCCAGGTTCATGACGGGAGCCTGAAACAGAGCACGGGCTATTGTATTTACACGAGACCAGAATAAGGCATGCAAGCCCCAAATGCAGAAGAAATATGCCGCGCACAAAACACACAACGCCGAAGCTCTACACCCTTAACCCTATAAACCCTAAGCCCGAAGATCTATAAAGTCTCCCCCCGGTGGTGTTGGAGCTCGCGAGGAGATGAAGTCGAAGGGGTTCCTTGACATCGAGGTCTGGCATTGGGACGGCGTTCCTGGGCCCGGCAAAAAAGTGTTGGGGTTTAGGGCTTGTCGGGCTTTAGGGAAAATCGGTTTTAGGTTATATATATATATATATAGTGCTATATATGTATATAGGGTTTCTGAGGTTTAGGGGTTTCCAGACCCTAAGCCCTAAATCCTAAAGGAACCCCTTAATAACCCTTAGAAAGGAAAGCCTTGAGCATCCGTGGTTTCGGATGCGCGCGTTGAGGTGCCCACTGAGTTCTTGGGTGCTTTCAAGCTTGACCTGCAGAAGGCCCTTGTCAAGAGTCTTTTTGGGGTCAACCCGAAACCACACTCCTTATAGGGTCACAGGGCTTGGGGGGTTTTTGTGGTAGCGGATGCTATAATAGTGGCAGTGGTGAAGTTCCTTATGGTGCTGGCATGGCCTGAAGAAATGCTTTGAGGCTCGTAGGCCACTTTCTTTGACACCTCCGGAAGCAAATGCTCAACCAGTTGGCTTGACCCTACCAAAATCTAAAGTTTAACCTTAATGATTTGATTCGTTGCCATCTGCACAACTATTCTTCAGTAAGGCGCCATACAGGACAAGCAGAAATGCGTGTACGTCAATGCTTAAGTCTTAAGTTGTGAGAAGCTCTGTGAGGTGTGATATGCTTCAAGCAGTGATGAAGAAAAGGCATGTGCGTACCCGAATCCACCTTTCGATCCGCAACCCTGTAGAAGCTCTACATGGGCATACTCGCGATACTAGAACCGAACCACCTGCAGCAATGATACAACAGCGAACCGAACGGATCAGAATAGAGGGAGCATGCGCATCTCCTGTGCCAGACGCGGTTTGGACAGCAAGTGGAGCGAGCTCTTTGTCGAGATGTCGTGAAGACGAAGTACCTGGGCTGGACTAATTAGAGGGCTGGGACCCCCCCGATGCCTTTGAACATGATGTTTTGCGCCTTTGTTTTCTTTGCATGTGGCCCGGCATCAGGAAGTCTGAGCCTTGCATGCTGCAAGCTGCAACAGGCAGGTTGAGAATACCACAGACGAAGCCGACCGCGAGAAGGACGATACCGGAGATGCTTCTTGGAGCAGAGTAGGGGCAGGGGGTGGCTGGTGTTTGTTCTTGAAGCCTAAGCCCACGTAAGTAACATGCAGTGTCTCTGCTTGCGTGACAGGGTTGGGAGGCGGAGGTTTCGCCAAAGAAACACACAAGGCGCCCTGTCCCACTGACAAACTGAGGCGACCGTGGGCATCGACCCAGCTCTTGCGAAAGTCCACAACACCCTCATGCCCGCTGATGTTTGTTCTATGGTCGTGGGGCGTCCTCTTCTTGAATATGCGTTGTCAGTTTCAGGATTGCAGTTTCGGGGCAAACAAACCTATAGACTACTGAGGCTGCTATCGCATCAGTGAATACCAGGAGGTTTGAGGTCGCTTCGAACCTTCTCCGGGATGTCGTTTCCAGCTACGACCCTGCCAGACTTGGCAGATGCCCTTGCCGGAAGATGCGAGGGCCGAGCATTGCACGGATTATTGACTCAACTGCAGGTTTCCCGACCACAAGATCCGAAATCTTATTGAGGTGTCAAGGTGTGGGGCTGAATGCTCTGGAGATTGCAGCCCTGTATGCATTCGCCGTACAGGTACGAGGGTCGCCGCGAGAAGATCACAGGCTCATCGCTCGCCACGATGGCCACGCCGACAATCAGTCGATGCCCTACATATTTCAGGGCTCTTGTCACAGTTCTATTTTAGTGCTTTTCGTTTTGATAAAACTCTAACCTTGTCTGTACCATCTTTATCATCATTCGATTAGTGTAGTTATCTCGATGCCGTATATGTGAGAGTCGAAAGCCTGACGTGCCTTGCTCTTGCCAGCTGCTGAAAGCACTGACACTCATCCGGACCCACCTTGCGCCTCACCAAGAGAAAGGGCCTCTTCCACCTCCCCTCCTGCACATCTTGCTCCACCTTGAACCGCGAATTTTTCAACTCATAAACCCAAGCCAGTCTCCCCTGTTTGTTGTAGTGTAATATACTGACTCCGGAAGCCTTGCTCCAACTTTTAGGACTCCTGCTCCCACGATATGTTTAAGCCATGGCGTGTCAGTCCGAAAGCAAGCAGAAGATACAATCCTCCGGCCTGCTTCCCTGAAGACCTTGAACAGAGTTGAGGTAGGGCCGCAGGGCTTTCTAAGGTTTGCGTTTTTTTTTTTAACCTAGGGTGTATGAGTTTATATGAACCGTTTCAAAGAAAGCCCACTGACCTAAAACCACTCGCAGGCTTCGACTGCTACTTCCTGCCTGACTTTAAGCCGGTCCTGCTCCCAGCTTTCACCGGAAAGAGCAGTTCATTTTTTTTGGGGGGGGGGTGGGTGGAAGGGAGCGGGGGGGGGGGGGGGGNNAAGCGGGACATTCGGGGTGGAGGAGGGCTTAGGGCGAAGGAGCTAGAGCCAGGTTTTGGGCGTCTGCCTCTGGGGTTTAAGTGCAGCATCCTAGTGGCCAGCGGGCGAGAGAGAAAGAGAGAGATCAGGGGGGATTTGGGGCTGATGGCGTGGGGAGGGGGGGGGGGGGGGTAGGCAAGCTTAGACAGGTGGCTCGCTTTTAGTCATCACATGGCCGTGGCACACTCAGGAGTTCAGCAATAGCTTTCCGGATCAAGACCAAGAGGACATTGCAAGTGAGCAGCTCTTCGCCGGGACCCTAGCTTTGCCGGCCGCGTGACTCTCTGCCCGTGTCGTGTGTCATGCCGTTGGATACATTGCCGAGTACACACACACACATTAGTATAGTACCGCATCGCCTGGAAGTCAAAACTGACGAGTTTAGTCTACAGCTGCAGTGGTGCAGACAAGTTCTGCCTTCAAGATGATGCCTGAAGGGCCATGGATGCCCCCTGTTTTTTTCTGAGCCCGAGCTTCTGGCTAAGCATTGAAAGCCAGACCTGGCTGTGGTGCACCCGGCATTCTCAAGGAGCGATGACTCTTTTCACAGCCACTCATCAACCTCGGTACTCATCAGTATAACCTTGCAGCCTCCAGTCCGGCGGCATGAACAGATTTTGTTTGTGTCCCTCCGCCCAGGCTCCGGCATACAAGCGTGGTGAGCTCAGTTGCTGCAAGTATAAGCCAATCCCTTCACTCTAAAGTTGAGCCCGCACATGCGTCTAGTGCAGCCCAGCCCTGAAAACCAAAGCCGATACAACCCCAACAAGTCCAGGCTAGTCGCCCAGCGCAAGTTGGTAAGAATAAAACTGTAGTCGCAGTACCCACTGTTGTGATGACGAGATTGAAAGCCATGTGCATAGGAGTGGCATACATATACACTATAGTAATTCATTTCCACAGTGATAAACGGGTACTGTGCTTGAAGACTAAAGGCCTTCCAAACTAGCTTCCTGTGTATGCGATTGCTATAAACAAGAGGCTTTTGAATGAAAGAGTCTCTGGCTCAGGCTGGAAAGAAGTCTTTTCTGAGCTGAACGAGGCGAGGAAAAGAGCTTACGAAGTTTCTCTGTACTGAGCCTCGCTCATGTGTAACCTGCACCACTTACGATGGCCCGAAGCAACCAAACCAATGCGTGCTCTAACTTTGGTGAAAACTCATTCTGGACAATGCGCAGTTTGGAGTGTGTAGGCGTGCTGATGACACAGTGGGAGCTAGGATTCGGGGACCCTTGGGGATATAGACCCTCTCAATAAGGTCCCTTTTAAGAGAGCCAAAAGTAGGGTTCAGAAGGGGTACCCTTTAAGGGGTACCCCTACTAATACTACCTACACAGAGAAGCGACCTAACCAGCCAGGCCTATCAAATTTGGTTCCCAGACTCTCCTCCTAAGCGTCGGTGGACCTCGAGCTTCACGAACACGCGCCTGGCTCAGCAGAGCGTGTAGCTTCCAGAGTGAGTGAAGGAATCTTCGGAGCAATTCGGCACTGTGGCAGAGACGCTGTGTACGGCATGTTGCTCAATTTCAGATAGTTGAAGCAAAACAGATGTTCAACATCCGGGAGTTCCTATGAATCCTAGAACCGAACTCACAAAAAAAGCCAAGCCGAAAATCCGCAGCGCACATTCTCTCCAGAGAAGCTTCAAATCCATCGACTCCTGGGAACGATGCAAGCCTTATCAGCCCTGTATCCCTTAACGCTAAACCCTTCCCGCTGCCTCAACCAACATGGTATTCCAGACCCATCAGGCGAAGGAAAAGAGGTGATTAAAAAAAACCCTAAACCCTGCAGCGCTCAGGGAGGGCAAGGTGCTGCCTTTGCCTCGCTTGATCACTCCCTTGGCGCTCCCCGCCGACCTGGTGCAGGGCTCGGCTTCATGGGTCTACTTTGGTGTTTAACCAATTACCAATACCATTATTGCGGGGCTCCTTATTAAAAACAAAGAGTATAATGGGCCCCAAAACCCTGTTCTAATTATTAAGGCCACCGCATTATGGGGTTTAGGGTTGGAGAGCCTGAACCAAGGATATGTGCTTACCGCAGTGGTGAAAATTCCCTTAACTTTGGCGACCCCGGCTTTATCAATTCTCATTGCTAGGGGGTCGGTCTGTTACGAATCATTCAGAGTCCTGCTGAACAGGCTCTGACAGTCTATGCCTGATTTTCGCGAGAGCTCTAGGGGGCCTCAGGCAATTTTACGGTTTATGAAGTTTTGGGTGCTTTGCGTGTTTGGGAGCTTCTTTAGCTAGTCTCGCTTCAGTTGTTCTGGTCTGCCGTATCAGTCGCTGTCTGCTTCTTATATAGTTTCCATTCCAGGCGCCATTTCTCAGCTCCAGCCAATCAAACCCCAAAATTCGAAGTCGCTGCCGAGCGATGCAAGGTTTGAGGTGCCTTCATTCATCGCTAGTGCTGCTAGATCTTTGAAACATCAACACGCATCCAGAAAGTTCGAAACCTGAATCCTCAACTGCAAACGGAATAGCCGAAGCCTGAAACCCGCAGCCACCGTGAAAAGCACCTAGCCCTATCTCTGGTCTGACTGCCAAGGGCTCGCCACTCGCCATCATGCATTGGATCAAGCTTGGTGCTCGGAGATTTTTGGATGTGCCAGTCATCGATTACTTCCCATCACTTCCAGTTTGGTTATACTACAGCGTGGCAGCGAGAGGTACGGGAATCTATAGATGGTAGCAGGGCGCGGCAAGGTCAACGGACGCTTCTGGATTTTGAGATCCGTGCTTCTGCAGATTTGGGGTGGTGCAGCTCGCCCTAAAGGATAAGCTTCGCGCATGTGGCAATAAAGTGCTGTTGCTGCTGCCCCAGGTGCATTGAGTATAATGCGCCTGCGCGTCAGAGGCCAGGGGGATGCTTGGATGCTTCGACTGTGTAGCTGAGCTCT